GGGTTGAAATGAGTTGAGTCAAAATGAACTGAGTTCAACAAATGAGCGGGTCAATGATCAGCCCAACCTTAAGCTAGTTGGGCGGGTCAAATGAATTTGGGCTTAAATTGCCATCTACTCTGTTTGCATGAGTCCTATTATTTCTTTTAAAACAAAATAAATAGGGGCAAGGACAATAATACACCATTGGCATAACTTAATGACCCGACCATGACCCCAGCATGCTCCTAATTTTATTGTAAACTTTTTGGTTGCCGATTCAGTCTAATAAAAGTCTTTGGTTGAGTACCAAAAAATCATACTAATAACTATGGATTATTTTAGACTATAAGTTTTAAAAGCGATGTCTTCACTTCTTAAACTCCATACTATCACACAAATTGGAACGGTGGAGTATGATATAATCAAATGATACTATGTTCAGGTAAGAGGGGTGTATACGGGTAAAATCGGCTCATAGTACACCTCAGTCTCCGATAGGATTAACCGAGCTAAAGACATGAAGACGAGGGACCGGAACCGAAGCAGGGGTCTCATCGAGTCAGAGTTCGGAGGCATCACGCCCGCCCTCGAGAATAACGTGGTCATGATCCGGGATCGGTCCGAACCCTAAAAGACTCCAAAGAACATTGTCAAGAAATCAATCACGACCAACAGAAAGCCGAAATATCTGCGATCGGTCGGATATCACGGTGTGGATCTCGACACGTATTAATGAAGAATCGACAATCAATTAAACAGAAGATTTTTTGCCTTTTACGGAATTGTATCTAAAGTAGGATTCCTCTACTATATAAAAAGGGGGGAGGGGTCTGATAATTCATTAAGGACATTGTATCACATGAGGCAGGATTCATCCTCCTCATGTGGTTAACATAATTTATCGTTTATATTGAATTAATCTACGTATTCTTAAAACTCGTAAAAGAATTCTCCGCCTTGCTCCTAGTGTGTTCTTGCCTCCTTAGGTCGAATCTCTGGTATCCACGACGACTCTGTAGGTCTAAATTATGTCAAAAGTATGTCCCCCTCCTCAAAATAGCGTTTTTACATGTATTTATACCAAGTCGGGTCGGGCCCAGACGAAAATACCTTCTCCCGCACTAAATAGAACAATCACTCTGTAAAATTTGCACTACTGCGCCGCATGGAGCGACGCACCATGCGGGTGAGAAAGTTCAGATTGCTGATTCTGACAGGCCGTAGGAAATTTCCACAGACGCGGCGAACCGCGTGACAATCTATGCATCGCAGTATTGGGAATTCGCGAAAATGCAAAACATGAAAGTTGTATCCCTTTCAAATAGCTTTCCAACGATATACTGTGGAGCCAAAACGGAGTTCTGAACGAAGAGTTATGTGTATTTTACTAGACAATGCGCCGTATGCCCGCTCGATTCTTCGTTTCGTTCTTAACTATCATCCGTTAATCCCCAAACATGATCCCGACTTAATTACTTGGGCTTTTACTCAGACTTCAAAGCTCCAAATTACTTGAATTCATTTCATAATTCTACATAGCGCGAAATCACTTCTACAAGACATAAAATACATAATTAGTGCAAAACACTAGCGATTAAAGCTCAAAATCGATTAAAGTGCATTAAATTAGAGTGTAATAAGCGACTAAAATACGTCATTATAGCCTATCATCAACACCCCACACTTAAACCATTGCTCTTCCTCGAGCAATCAAACTACACTTTATATAGACACGACCTTTTTTTAAACAATTCTCCTAACTCATCATACCAAGAATATTTAAAATAGACTAAGCACAAAAGCGTAACATCTTCACCTCAAGGTTTGACTCACAAGTACAACGCATTATTCACAACTCACCCACTTACTCTAATATAAAGGTCATTGACATTACCTTTCCTTCATGAATCAAGTGTCCTCACACAACAAAAGAGAGTAGTTCCACACAATATAAAATTTAAGAACAATTAGGAACTCAAGATAGAAAGAATTCACTCACTCTCAGAAACGACATTCATATACCACAAAAGATGCACCATAGGCTTGCCCGTAGTGTACTACTCTACTAATCGAGCTCATTCAGTCTAGGATCAAGTAGGACTTTATTTGGTTGTAATGTAGGTTGAGGGTCGGGTATGATACATTTGGATATAAGAGTGACTACACCTCCCTAAGCACTTTAATACATACACTTTAACAATTGAAACCTCACACTTATGTCAAACCATGACTTCACCTTCACATCAATAGACATCAACTCTCAAATTATTTAAGCACAATTACATCAAGAGTTACCACTTGTCAATGAATATCTTCACACAATACAACTATTTTTTTCCTTTTATTTTCTTTTTCAATTCAAGTGGATCTTGCTCTTTCAAATCAGTGCACCTTTCTCTTTATTTCATTAGCTCCACTCAAAAGCCGAACCAACCACCCCACCCTTTAACTTTTATAGAGTTCATAACAATTCAAGTGCTCATGAGAGGTGAAAAGGTTCAAATAGATGGTTAATTCAAACAAATGAGTAAGGCTTGTAATGTGGTTGCCAAAGAAACAGGATTACAGACTCAAAGGGGGTTAACTACGTTACATTGCAATTAGGTGCAATGTAACATTGCAATTATGGCTCAACAAAGAAACATCTATATCACTTCCAAAACTGAACAAAACTACTATTTCTCTTTGCAAACACACGGGGCAAGTTCTAGACATCAAATGTAACGCACATAATAACACAAAACCTTACACACACATGGCAAATAACTCACTCAGGATTGGATTTATCAAGACCCTCTAGTCAAAGCAGTTAAGCAAATTTAAAATCATACATTTTAAGGTACTTCTACAAGAGTCAAAAACTGAGCCTAAGCGTCACAACCAAAGTACTCACTATTCTCATGACATAACAAAGTCAAGAGATATTGCTTCAATTCAAAACACAACACAATGACTCCTATTCCAAAAAAAAATAAAACTAGCTACACCTGGTTCAAATAAAACCCATGGAAAAGAACCGTGACACAAAGAAAAATTAAAGAGGAATTACTACACTACCTACAAAGAAAATATTTTTATTATTTTTTTAGACTTAAATCCTTCAAGAAAATTGTTTAATAGATCCATCGTGGGGAACAGTCCAATTTTTTTTTAAAACAAAAGCATTATTCAATTAAACTAACACAACTAAAATAGCATAGAAATTCACCCCGACAATCTCCTCACTCCACACTTAAAATTGTGCATTGTCCCCAATGCACACCATACTAATAAGAGGGTAAAAGAAACTCCCTGGTAGGCCAAAGGCCGAAGCACTAGCAGCTCATGGGGTACTCAGACTTCTCCCAGGCTTGGTCATTCATGCGGGTACCTCACACTTAGTTCCAACCATCTGGTTTGCTGTTGCATCCTTCCAATAGCTTTGCTTTCCATGCTCCTAGAAAATAAAAAAAATCGACACTACAAAAATAATACAATTAAAAAATTAATAGTAAAATAAATAAATAAAAGAAAGTAGTAAAGCTGGGTTGCCTCCCAACAAGCGCTCGATTTAATGTTGCGGCACGATGCGAATCACTTTCTACCTCCACTTTGAACTTATAAACTGGACCCCAAGTTTTGATTCTGCTCTATGATCATGCTCCTGGGGCCATACAAATTGTTGCGAGCCAAAAATTAAATGATACTTTCTGAACTTTTTGGCTTTCAACCGAGGAGTGTCATTTTGCCTAGACAACCTTGAAAATTTCAGAATATAGGGCTCATCTACCTCTTCCTTTAACTCTTGCATTGGCTCATACAAATCAATTTCCATTTCACCATCTGAACATAATATAGAGAAGTATTTGGAATGAGGTCCAACGCGCTCAAATACATGAACTTCAAGATTTTTAACCTCCTCAATACCAATCACACTAGAGTCAACTAAATTTGTATCTTCAACATCCCTGATGGACTTTAGTATTATTTCTTCAACATTGGCATCCTCAAATTCTAGCTGGTTAGAGTGTTGGGGTTCTATTTTGGACCCCTCCATTGGCACCTCAATTTCCATCTCTAATGCACACTGCTCCTGGCTACTATCCATAATATTGGTATATTGAGTATTAAAAGCTTCAACTAGTTGACTCACTTGAGCCTCCAAGTTACGAATAGTTGCATCTTGCCTTTGTACCCGCAGTTGTATCTCATCATATTGTTCCACAAGGCACTTTAGCATATCCTCGATCTTTTTCGGGTCATCATCCCTGAGTTCTTTGTTCCTATTAACCTCACAAGAAAAAGAAGAGCCATCAAAGTAAGGGGTTAGGGGTGTGAGCACGTGATTTTTTCCATACATGAAATACCCCTACAAAATCCAAGGAAATAGATTTTTTTCTTAATTATTTGCCACTTTTAGGATTTTTTATAGATTTTTATTAATTATTTGCATTTTTCTTGCATGTTTAATTTTTATTTAAATCATGAAAAATACCAAAAAATGTCGCGCGTTGTATTTAGGATTTGTTTTTACATTTTTAGAATTAAGCAATAATTGTTTGCTTTATAAAACTTGAAAATCACAAAAAAATAGCTCATGTTTACATTTTTTGTCTTTTAATTTTTAGTTTATTGATTTTTCTCTTTTACTTTAGAATTAAGTGATGTTTACAAATTTTATGATTAGTTAATTAGTTCAATCTCACTTTTTTAGATAATTTAGGATTTTAATTATTAGAATTTTTAATTAAAAAACAAGAAGAAAGAAAAATAGGAATTGAAAATAAAAGAAGGGGAATACAAGAGTATCAATTGGACCCATTCTTTAATCTCCCAAATCACCCCCAAATTCGGCCATTGTCAAAATTGGGCCATCTTGTACAAATTGCCCCCTCAAAATCAATTAACCCATAGCCCAAACACTTTTCTCACCGCCCCAGCCCAACACAATCGGATCTGACCCATTATTTTGACCCGTCCATTGACTTCAATATAAAACCCCTGTTATAAACATTTCCCCCAATTCCCCCAAACCCTAGAGAAGCCAGAGATGACGCCCTACACACTATTCATCGTCTCATTCATTGATCCTTAACCCTCAACTCGCCATAACTCACCCGAGTTCACTCAAAACGGTCCCCCTCTCCACGTCACCTCTATTTCCCAACGGATTTGTCATAGGGGAGTACGAATATTCCCTCAAAATCGCGGATTTTTGTACAAAAAGGATAATTGTTGGATGAATGGGAGCTGTGGATAGATGTGAATCAATCCACGCCCTCCATTTGTCCCAAAATTGTTCAAAAACATGAAGGATTTTCAGATTTTTGGGCAGATTATTTGGAGAGTTTGAAGACTATATATACGAGGTAGACATTCTTTGTAAGATTAGAGAGAAAAATCGGATAAAAATCTTCAGAAAAACTTAGTCAAAATTTCTAGGTTTTTTTTTATTTGTCATCTCTTCAGACCTTCTTCTCTTTTTTCTGCAGAAACATAAAAAAAAGAGACATCATGGTTTGAGTTCATTTTTTTACTCTATTTTTTAGAGAAAAAATCAAAAAGGAGTTACTGAAAACAAATTTTCTTTAGCGTTTGTTCTTTGGGTTGGAGTTTTGTTTCTCAAGGGAGCTTGATTTAACGGTTCAAGTTGAAGTCGAGTTTTCTTTTGGAGTTCAAAATTTCAGTCTTGGTTCGGGTTCAAGCTGGTTGATTCCTGTGTTCTTGTTGCGCTGCTGTTATTGCTGATTTTTTCTGCTTGCGCCGAGCTTTGCTGAGTTTTCTAGCTTCTTTTTATTTCTTGCTTGTAGAGGTACGAATTCCTACTATTGAGAACTTTCAAATGTTTGTAGTCGTTGAAATTTGTGAGATATAATTATTGAGCCTCATGTGTGTTTTCTCTCATTGTTTTATTGTTAATGTCCAAGTTGTAAGTAAAATGAGTTTAATGACCAATTCTGTTAGTTCTTCAGCAGATTTTTGTTTGGACACATTTGTATCAGTTGTGCTATGTGCTCTGAAATGGTCTATAAGGGCGTATTCCTAGATCTGTTGATTGTGTGGGTTTAGCCCTTTTAGTAAGTCAAGTACTCCACCTTTCAATTTGTTTGCCCGTGGAATGAAAGAACAAGTCAGTAGTGCACAACACTTGGTTGCTTTGGAAAATTGATCTTTTGATATGTAATGTTACTTACCAATGTTGTTATTTTTTTTCTTCTTTTAGCTCTATTTCTTTGTTTGTTCAAAAAAATAATAATAAAGAAAATAAAACACTACAAAGGCAAGACAGTAGGCATGTCTATTTGTATGAACTCCTGTGAAGGTAATGTTAAAGTTAGGCGGTCACTGCCTTTATTTTGGTATTTTCTTCGGATTCACATGGTTTTAATACTTATGGTACATCATCTTTCAAACTTATGTGATTTACGTCAAAGGTTTTAAGTTTGAATAGTTTTCTGCGTGAAACAGAAAGTAGATTTTCATGAGGATGGTGTATTAGTCGATTTAAAAGGTCTTTTACTACTATTCATTGTCAATGTTCTTGTTGAATCAGTGGGGGTAGTTTCCTCTGTTTGATACCTTGGAGTAAGTAGATAACGTCAAAAAGGGTGTTGATATCATGCACATGAATGTTTATATGGCTCTTGTCGCACCTTTAATCCACTATTCATTAGATTGTTTCAAGTTATTATTTATAATGCCCCTTACATGTTAGCTGGTAGTAACGTGTGTATTCCCTTTTGAATGTGGTGAATTTGTTTGGCCCATGCTTTGTTTGGTCCTCTTTTATTTTATTTCTTAGTTGTCAAATGCTTCCAACAACCTAGATATATCAGTGATTATGCTAACTCTCTTTAATTAATTTACTACACTTTTTCACAACTGATCCATAAATCATGACCTTCCAATAATCTCAAATTAGTTTAGGAATAATTCATGAACACCGTAGTTTACTTTAGGCGCACAATTAATTATTACAACTACGAGTACGACTCCCGTGACGTGGTTGTGATAACTAGTTTTAATTTAGTTAAAAAAAATAGGAATACCTTTAGTTTGCCTTTAAAATATATATAACCCTCTTTCTTAATATACTAGAGGTGTGTCATGCTTTAAATCTATAACACTTGGCCCGCACAAATTTAGTTCAAATAATTTGGAGTGTGCCATACATAAATAAAATCCTTCAATTTATGGCCCTCGTATAAATACAATATTAGTATAAAAATTGCCTTGAACTTTCGTAGTTTGTTTTAGGCTCGATTTAGAATAGTATTGCGATTATGTATAAGTTCGCGTAACATAATTACAAATTTAATTCTAAAAAAAAGACTTGAGGGATGCGTTCGCGCAACTTCAACCAAACTTTTTTCTTAATAAAATAAATAAAGCGTTATTAATTGTGGACACGTTCGCTTGACATGATTTTGACGCGCCAAAAGAAAGAGTATACGTATGCGTAACTCACTTCTTTAAATACGAAGAATTCAAGTGATTTAAAAGCGATAAAAAGATAATTGCACATAGGTTTTAAAATGTGTAGTTAAACAATTAAGCCAAGTACAAATTGCTAAGCGACCATGCTAGAACCACGGAACACGGGAATGCCTAACACCTTCTCCCGGGTTAATAGAATTCATTATCTAGAATTTCTGGTTCGCAGACTTCAAAAGGAAAGTCTAAATTTCCTCGATTTGAGATTTAAAATAAACCGGTGACTTGGGACACCAATTAAAATATTCCAAGTGGCGACTCTAAGAATTAAAATAATCCTATTTCGAGTAATGCCACTTAAATTGGAAAAACTCCCTTGTACCCCCTCGGGTGATAAAAAAGGAGTTGTGACTGGGGGAAGATAAGAAATATAAGCACAACCATGAAAGTGACCATCTTAACTACTACATATATCACACACATTCCACACATAAGATTGAATTGGTGCACATAACTCGCTCTCGGGAATATTTTGATTATTTTGCCATGGGTGGTTTCCTCCACAATATGCATAAGGAGGATCAAAAGTAGAATTACCAATATCAAAACTCTCATAATTCCAAGATGTCATGTCTCTCAAATCAAAAATAAAAAATAAACAAAAAATAATCAAATACAAGAAAACAAAAATAAAAGTTCAAACTTGCAACCTAGAAATATGTACACCTATAGCTCTACCGTTAGTTCCCCGGCAATGGTGCCAAAATTTGATCACGCCCAACTATGCCTTATAAAAAAGACTAAGCGATTGTTGCAAATATAATCCGGTTTACAAGTCCGGAGTCGAATCCCACAGAGAACTAAGGTTTAACTACAGTTGTTCAATATCGCTAAGAAACAAAAGTCCAAATAATTTTCTAATTATAAAGATTATAATATTTGTTTTTATCTAATTAACTAATAAATACTAGAAAGCAATAAAACTATCAATTAACAAAGATAAGGATTAGAGACAAGATTAAGAAGGTCTAGAGTTATGATTTTCCCTATTGTCGGAATCCTTCCCGCTACGTTTTCTATAAATTCGCCTAAGTATTCTCTACCGATCATGAGCGCTCTGACTGTCGTAACTCTCTCCCGAGTAATTACCACAATTTACTAGACATATTCTCTTGAATTATGCTAGCTGGCATTAAGTACGGCTCACTCGGATCGCACCAAAGGTTTCGTTATCCCTAATCCCACCTTTAAACCCTTCCTATTGATCCCTCATATACGTTAGGAGTGATGTTGTTCAACAACTACCTAAATATGCACTCTCTCCCAAGTAATACACACTAAATAGGCACAGACGTTTGAGAGCTCTTCAACCAACCACAATACAAACGTAGTTGAACAATTAGAGAAAAAGCTACAACAAAACTATATTAACATAACAGGAAAATCATCCTCCAATAAGTTCCATCAAAACCCTAGATAACAAATTATCTATTCATAATAGTATGCATAACTACAATACTAGAATTCATAACCAATAATGGAAATAGGAAGAAGGAAGTGAGAAACTCGTAGAAGAATTCTCCGCCTTGCTCCTAGTGTGTTCTTGCCTCCTTAGGTTGAATCTCCGGTCTCCACGACGGCTCCGTAGGTCTAAATTATGTCAAAAGTATGTCCCCCTCCTCAAAATAGCATTTTACATGTATTTATACCAAGTAGGGTCGGGCCCAGACGAAAATACCTTCTCCCGCACGAAATAGGACAATCACTCCATAAAATTTGCACTACCGCTCTGCATGGAGTGACGCACTATGCGGGGCGGTAGTGGGAAAGTTCATATTGCTAATTCTGACAGGCTGCAGGAAATTTCCATCGGTGCGGTGCACCGCGCGCCACTCTATGCACTGCGATATTGGGAATTCGCAAAAATGCAAAACATAAAAGTTGTATCCCTTTCAAATAGCTTTCCAACGATATATTGTGGAGCCTAGACGGAGTTCTGAGCGAAAAGTTATGTGTATTTTACTAGACAATACGTCGTATGCCCGCTCGATTCTCCGTTTCGTTCTTAACTATCATCTGTTGATCCCCGAACATGATCCCGGCTTAATTCCTTGGGCTTTTACTCAGACTTCAAAGCTCCAAATCACTTGAATTCATTCCATAATATCTACATAGCTCGGAATCGCTCCTACAAGGCATGAAATACACAATTAGTTTAAAACACTAGCGATTAAAGCACAAAATCGATTAAAGTGCAGTAAATTAGAGTGTAATAAGCAACTAAAATACGTAATTATAGCCTATCATCATCAGGTCAGTAGCCGGAGATAATCATGGCAACAATGGCGATGGGATCAACTTGCGGGTGATCTTAGAAATGCAACATGCTAAATAAGCAGTGATAGCCCAACTACAGAACCAAACCCGCGCCCCCAGCAAAATTGAGCATGAGCCATCCCAAAAAATCACTCGCAGAAACGAACTAGTCACTGAGAAGCTAAACTTGGGACTAACCCCGAGATCAAAAAGATACTCGAGGAGCTGACAAAATGGGTAGAATCGGGAGGAAAAAAAATCAAAGCTAATGACAAAAAGATGGAAACCTACAACTCCAGGGTCGACCAAATCCCAGGAGAACCACCGATATTGAAGGACCTGGATTCCAAAATGTTTGTTCAAAAACCTTTTCCTTCGAGCGCAGCTCTGAAGCTAATCCCGAAGAAGTTCCGCATGCCGGAGATTCCTAAGCGCAACAAAACAACTGATCCAAATGAGCATGTGACCTCTTACACGTGCGCCATCAAAGGAAATGACTTGGAGGATGATGAGATCGAGTCTGTCCTGCTAAAACATTTAGGAGAAACTTTCTCAAAGGGAGTCATGATATGGTATGATAACTTTCCCCCTAACTCTATTGACTCGTTTGCTATGCTTGCAGACTCCTTTGTGAAAGTGCACACTGGGGCCATCAAGGTCGATACCAGGAAGTCAGACCTTTTCAAAGTAAAACAAAGAGACAACGAGATGCTCAAGGAATTTGTGTCCAAATTTCAAATGGAGCGAATGGACCTGCCTCCGGTCACAGACAATTGGGCCGTTTAGGCCTTCACCCAATGACTCAATGCTCGAAGTTGGTTAGCTTCACAACAGTTGAAACAAAATCTGGTAGAATACCCGGTGTTAACTTGGGCCAACGTCTACAACTGGTACTAATCAAAAATCAGGATCGAAGATGATTAGCTTGGGGCCCCTTCCGAGTCCGTTTACCCCATCAGAACTGGTGACCGATCCAAAAGAGAATTTGATCATGAACCAAGATGTAATAGAAATTGGTATCAACCATACAACAGAGATCGAAGAGGCAACGGGTCCGGGTGCAACCTTGTAAGGAGTGAGAGAAGGAGCGATCGAGGTCATAATAATCGGGGGCTCATGAGCAAGATTGGTTTCGACAGACCCCTCGGGCCTAAGGAAGCACCGAGTTTATCAGAGTACAACTTCAACATCGATGTTGCTGCCATCGTATTTGCCATTAGATGTATCAAATACACCAAGTGGCCTCGACCTCTATAGTCCAATCCTGTCCAAAGAAACCACAACCTGATATGTAAATATC